GTGCTGCTGTCGCTGGTGGACGGCGGCCAGGCGCCCAAGGCCTCTGTGTCGGCGTCTGCGGGCGCCGCGGGCTCGGAGGCGGCGCTGGTGGACGTGAACGTGTACCTGATCGTCGCCATCTGCGCGGTGTCCAGCCTGCTGGTGCTCACGCTGCTGCTGTACACGGCCGTGCGGTGCTCGGCGGCGCCGAGCGGGGGCGCGTGCGGGCCGGGGCAGCCCAGGCTGGTGTGCCCGGGCGCGGGGGGCAGCTGGTCGGCCTCGCAGCAGAGGCGGCCGCGGGTGTGCTCTGGGGAGGGCGCGCCCAAGACGGACCTCATGGCCTTCAGCCCCAGCCTTCCACAGTCAGTAGAAGATGGTTTAAATTCTTCCAGTGAAGTAAGTCATTGATATATATTTGCTCCTTTTAAGAACTTTTTGTTAAGGTATAAATAGATCCTATTTTCCTCCCCCACCCATGTTACCCTTTAAATGGTCGATATCTCCTCCTATGTGATAGGATCATTCTTAGTCATTTGACCTTTCATGCATTTGCCCAATTTTTCATGTTTTGACGAATGAGGTATATAAATGAACTGGAAGCCATTGATCATCACACTTAAAAAATTTCTAGTTCTAAAAAAAATTCATTTTTTCTATTATCTATGAATTACTAGCCTTGAAAATATTAGTACACTACAATAAAACTGTCCACAATGTTTGATCACTCTTATATTCATTTTTAATTTGAACTTAATTTCATGATTACAGAAAATTTATAAGATCAATACAGAGAGTTTCCAGATACCATTTAGTGGATTCCTTACTGTTCTTTATGTGCATAGGCTTGTAAAATAGTCTCGTTGGTCACCATTCTAATTTCAGTACAATCCTATTCCAGGTATTAGATCAACAATAATTATGTTATTAATTCTACAATGAAATATTTTTTGTTATTGTTCTCCTGAAGTGCCTTTTTTCCTTCAAGTAGAAATGGCTATCATACTATATTTATTTACATAAAATATAATAAAGTCATTTCATATTCAAAGTATTATTATAACCACCAAAATCAGGATGCATCTTATAATTGATGGTTTATAATAATTTACCTAGCTGTTTTTCTTTATTTGTAGCACATAAGTAATATGGTGTATCTTATAATAGTGACATTTTTATACAATGCAATATAAGAACATTTATTGATACCCTATTATTTTCCAGGACTTGTGCTAAGTATTTAATTGTATTATCTCATTTAATTATCAAATCAGCCAAATGGTGCCAGTAGAATATTTATCATTGTCATTTCACTGATGAGAAACCTGAAGATTAAGGCACATAGATAGTTAGAAGTGGATCAAACCAGTTTGGGAGGATCCCAAACCCATTGTGGCATACTACTGCTCTAAGACTATTATCAGGTGAATGTTCTAAGTGCATTTTATATGTTGTAACTTTCTTCCATGAAAACATCCAGAAACTTCTCTTTGACCAGAGAATAGTCTTAAATCCTTCAACCTTGTAGTGGAGGCATCAAGCTTTCCTGCCTTTTTCCTACTATTCTTTCACATATCTTTAGTTTAGGCCATGGAATACAGCATATGTTCAATCAATACATTTGAAATAAATATACGGTATTGGGAGAAACTTCACTGTAGAAGTTGGGATGGGCCCCAGAGATTAGATACTGTTTTATTGAAGGGTGCCCGAAGGATAGGTAACATTTCAACAGGAAGGTGTTACAGATGGAGAGATAAGTATGAATAAATGAGCAGAGTTTGCTCTAGTGAATGTGTACTTCATTGACGGATTGGAGCAGGGGAGGTTTTGAAGGAAGGAAAGCTAGTAAAGAATATTTTCTAATACTTTAGGTATCAAGCAATGAAGACTTAAGTTATGACGGTTGAAATGTATTGAGAGAAACACATGGAAAAGGCATTAGCAAAGTAGAAGCAGCAAGATAATGACTGATTCAATACAATGATAAGAGAAATACAAGAGCAGATGACTAACTTTTTTAGTTTGGTCACCTGGGAAGATGAGATTGCCTTAACCAAGATACAGAATTAAGTCAGAGAAACAATTTGTGTGTGTTTGTGAAGCTCAGGACTAGAGAGGAATGTTTAAGAAAATAGTACTCTTGAGTTTCTAGGAGAATACCATATGTGATTGGAACTCAGGGGAGATCATGGATGTAGACTTGTGAGTCTTTCCCTCAGGGAAAAAATACATCCATGGAAAAGTAAAGTCACCAAAGAGATGGAAAAATGAAAAGCAATGTGTCCAAGTATTTAGGTAGGAAGATATGTTCCGGGGGTCGCTGTAACAAAAACTGGCTTAAGACAACAAAAACTTATTTTGCATGGTTTTGGGGGCCAGAGATTCAAAATCAAAGTATTGGCAGGGCTGTACCCACTCTGGAGTTCAAAGGGAGAATCGGCTGTTTCTTATAGCTTCTGCCTCTGTGATCACATTGCCTCATCTTCTCCTCTATATGTTTTTTAAAAATAAGGATACATGTAATTAAAATTTAGGGTCCACCTGCATAATCTGGGATAAGTGCTTCCTCTCAAACCCTTAACTTATTCACTTTTTTTTTTTTTTTGCTATGTAAGTAATATCCACAGATTCCAAGTATTAAGATGTGGACATATCTTTTGGAGGGCCACCACTGAGCCTACTACAGTAGGCTTAAAATCATAAGATGGTTGACAACTGAAATAAAACTCAAAGTGCAATATGTCAGGTAAATGTTCGAAGTTAGAGGTAATGAGGAGAAAAAAGAACAGGCTCCCCCTGAAATGTATATATTAGTTAAAAACACTTGAGCGTTTTTGTAGTGTGAGGGAAAGGAGCAAGTAAAGAAGATACTGAGGATGAGACAGCAGAAAAAGACTGAAGATGAAGATGAAAAATGTGAAGGAAAATAGAATAGAGAATAATTTTAAAAGAGTGTAGGGTTTGCCTTAAAAGTGGGGACCATTGTTCCTTAGTAGGGAATGAAAATAAGAAGAGATATAAGAGGAGAGACATTGAGTTCATATGGATGACTTATTACTTTCTGTAAATCATCTGAGAAGCAGTCGGTGGGAATGAGGTTGGGAATTTGAGACAAGGGAAGAGAATATGGAAGAATCTCTGTAGCACAGGGAATAATTATGCATTCATTCATCTGAGGGCCCAGTCGAGGTAAAACGAGGTCTACTGAGAGTAAACCTGTAGAGAATGTAGCCATCATGGTTAAGTGACTCTTATACCGAGAAGTTCAATAGGAGGAATGGAGAAAATGGATAGTTAGGTTGTGTGTTGGAAGCTAAAGAAAATATTAGAGGTCTAATAGTATAAGTAGGTGAGTATCTGCTAGGGCGTGTTTTAAATGGGTGGCTATGTAGTCTAGGTTAGATGGAAAGGTAAGTGAGACAACTTAGGGCCTGATAACCAAGAACAATGGGAAAGAATCAAGGGGTTATTCCCACTATAAGAGTAAAGCTATGTTGCCCTGGCTGGTGTGGCTCAGTTGGTTGGGTGTTGTCCCATGCACTCAAAAGGTTGCTGGTTCAATTCCTGGTCAGGGCACATGCCCTGGCTGGAGGCAAGCAGGAGGCAGCCAATTGATCTTTCTCTCCCTCTCCCTTCCTCTCTAAAAATCAATAAAAAGAAATCAATAGAAACAAAAGAGTAAAGCTATGTTAATGGAGCAGAAGAGGAAGATGAACATAAGAGAACATCAAATACTTTAGTCAAATTTTCAGAGTGGAGCAAAGATGTGGAAATGAACCCAACTATTATTTCCTGCAGAGCTGTGCACAGAACAGGCAAGAGAATAATTGGAGCTATTCTACATCTTTCATAGCACTATTTGGCCTGGAACTTCCGGGCCTGGTAAAGATAGTGATAGCAATAGGTAAAAGTAATATTCCCTTCCTCTCTTCCTTGTGTTAGCATCCATGTCAACCTGTTGTTGCTTGGAAAATCAGTCAATTTAAATGATAGTAAGATTTTCTCCAGTGATGGTGTAAGAAGGGGAAGAGAAGAGGGAAGTTTAACCTATTGATAGTAATTTATATTTCACCAAATATATAGTTGTTGGCATGCTAGTTATTGACATGTTTTATACAAAGATAATCCAGAACTTTAGAGCATTGTTATATCTAAATGGCCTAAATTGTGTTTATGCACACACACATTCATATGTAAACTCCTACACACATTGGACACTTACTTGAAATATAACTAGTTTATTCACATTTCATAGTCATTTTTGGGGGACTTTATAAACATGACATTTATTTAAAATCCAGTTTATCACTTATGATTATTTTCCATGTTCATCCATTTTATTATGTGATTGGTTATATTTCCATTTGGAGTCAATGGCTGTTGTGTGAGCGGGTCTCAAAAATATTACAGGAAAAGTACATTCCCACCAAAACCTACAAAGCTTTGCAGAAGTAGAGGCTGATTTCCAAAAGTGAATGTAGAATATTCTCCCTCTTAAAATTCTACATGGAAGTTTTACACATGAAAAAACATATTTGTGAGAAAAGGAACTCATCGATCAATTTTCAGCTAACAATCAATGCTGAGCAGAATACAGTGATTTACTGCTTTTGGAAAGAAAAACATTTTAATCCTCAATTACCTATCTGCAATGAAAAACTTCTCGAAACGCAAGAAAAAAGCCCCCTACATAAACGGAAAATACGAAGGTGGAACCATTTTACACTTACACATTCATGCGCATGGTGTCGCTCTTCACTGAGAACGTTTCCTCGAAGAAAGCTCCTCGGCTTTTTCCTTCCTGCAGAAAATTTGGCATATAGTGGAAATCCTCTAGCGAATTCTCCCACAAAGAAGGCCGTGAAATTGGATCTTGAGAGTCAGCTTGAGGTAAGGTATTCTATATACTTCAGATACCTCCAAAGCCTTTTGAGCGTACCATGCTGTTTTCTTGGCGAGGAGGCCCANTGCCATTATGTTAAAGAGGTAACTTAGAGAACTTGCATCTTGAGTTATCCTCTACACAACTGGACTAAATGTTTAGAATAATTTAACATGGTGTAAGGGTTAAGCATTGGAAAATTAAAGAATATTAGCAATGGAGTAAAATTAATAAGAAACCATTCCAAAATGATCATTTCTAAAAGTCTAAAACAACAGTATCGCCAGTAACCTACAACATGGAGTTTTCACCTTCATGTACTTGATAATGTGATTGCGCGGTAGTACATTCTCCTAGATGTCTCTATGCAAGGTAAAACTTTTTGGAATTCTAATTTATAAGACAAAACCACCTTGAGTTAGTGGTCACACACAAGGAATATATAAAAGATTAAAGGCCCACAAAGAAAAACATGAACCAATACGAAGGAATCGAGGAAGAAGCAATTAAGTCAAGGAAATACTAGTATAAATGCAGATGTTCTTCCATCGTGAGCCACGGGGTGTCGCTGTTCTCCAAGGAGAGGATTGTTTTAACAAAGAAAATTACGATGACTCCCAGAATCAGAAAGATTCTCCACCGTTCCGGAGCTTTAAAGACTATAAACACACCCATACTGTTAAGATCACCTGGGATCTCAGGAACGAAGACTCAAAAGAAAGATCGCAAAAGGACTACACCTTTCTACGCATGAAATTTTGATTTACTAACCGGGATCCAGGCATGGTGTTAGCTTCAGGATCAGGTGACGAGGGAGCCCGGCGCCTGCTGCTCTCGCTTCTGCTCCTCGCAGCCTGGGAAACGGGGAGCGGCCAGGTGCGCTACTCGGTCCCCGAGGAGGCCAAGCACGGCGCCTTCGTGGGCCGCATCGCGCAGGACCTGGGGCTGGAGCTGGCGGAGCTGGTGCCGCGCCTGTTCCGCGTGGCGCCCAAGGGCCGCGGGGACCTTCTGGAGGTGAATCTGCAGAATGGCATTTTGTTCGTGAATTCTCGGATCGACCGCGAGGAGCTGTGCGGGCGGAGCGCGGAGTGCAGCATCCACCTGGAGGTGATCGTGGAGAGGCCGCTGCGGGTTTTCCACGTGGAGGTGGAGGTGACGGACATTAACGACAACCCGCCTGTGTTCCCTGAAAATAAGAAAAGAATAATTATTGCAGAATCTAGACCTCCGGAAACTCGCTTTCCACTAGATGGCGCATCCGATGCAGATGTTGGAGTAAACTCAGCCTTGACTTACCGAATCGATCCTAACGATTATTTCGCTTTGGACACACAAAACAATCGTGAACAAACGTCTTCGTTATCACTTGTGTTGAGGAAATCATTGGACAGAGAGGAAATTCAGGAACATAGGTTATTATTGACAGCCAACGATGGAGGTAAACCTGAGCTGACGGGCACAGTTCAGTTGCTGATCACAGTTCTGGATGTGAATGACAACGCCCCAGAATTTGACAAATTCATTTACAAGGTGAGAGTTTTAGAGAACGCAGTTAATGGAACATTAGTGTTCAAGCTAAATGCCACAGATCCCGACGATGGTAAAAATGGAGACATAATCTACTCATTTAGAAGGCCTGTGTCACCTGCAGTGTTGAATGCATTTATCATAAATCCTAACAGTGGAGAAATTAGGACAAAAGGTACACTGGATTTTGAAGAAAAGAAATTTTATGAATTATCAGTGGATGCACTTGACCAGGGAAGTGTTCCTTTGGCGGGTCATTGTACCATTTTGGTGGAAATACTAGACATAAATGATAACGTCCCAGAAGTTACTATCACTTCTCTGTCGCTCCCTGTCCCAGAGGATGCTCAGCTGGGCACTGTCATCGCCTTGATTAGTGTGTCCGATCGTGACTCTGGCGCTAACGGGCAGGTTACCTGCTCACTAACACCTCATGTCNGAGTTGCTAGTGACTTCGCTGTCGCTTTCCGTTCCCGAGGATGCTCCACTGGGGACCGTCATCGCCTTGATCAGTGTAACCGACCGTGATGCTGGTGTCAACGGGAAAGTGACCTGCTCACTAGCACCCCAAGTTCCCTTCAAGCTGGTGTCCACCTTCAAGAATTACTATTCGCTGGTGCTGGACGGCGCCCTGGACCGCGAGAGCGTGGCGGACTATGCTGTGGTGGTGACCGCGCGGGACGGGGGCTCGCCTTCGCTGTCGGCCACCGCTAGCGTGTCCGTGGAGGTGGCCGACGTGAACGACAACGCGCCGGAGTTCGCGCAGCGCGAGTACACGGTGTTCGTGAAGGAGAACAACCCGCCCGGCTGCCACATCTTCACGGTGTCGGCGCGCGACCGGGACGCGCAGGAGAACGCGCTGGTGTCCTACTCGCTGGTGGAGCGGCGGGCGGGCGAGCGCGCGCTGTCGAGCTACGTGTCCGTGCACGCGGAGAGCGGCCGCGTGTACGCGCTGCAGCCCCTGGACCGCGAGGAGCTGGAGCTGCTGCAGTTCCAGGTGAGCGCGCGCGACGCGGGCGCGCCGCCTCTGGGCAGCACCGTGACGCTGCAGGTGTTCGTGCTGGACGAGAACGACCACGCGCCCGCGCTGCTGCCGCCCGGGGCCGGCG